TGACCTGCGCGCAAACGAGGAGCGCATCAGGACAGCTGCTGCGGGAGCTGGAGCTGCTGCAGAAGAGGCTGGCGGCGAAGGAGCCTCCGGGCCGCATCAACGCCCAGGAGGAGTACGAGGCGCTGAAGAGCTTCGTGGACGGCTCCCTCAAGCCGCAGATCTCGCGGCTGACGCGGATGAACGGGGAGAAGGACCTTGACCTGCGCGCAAACGAGGAGCGCATCAGGAAATTGTTGAATGAATGTGGGGAAAGGCGTGGAGTTGGTGCCCGCAGGAAGAACTATGTGTCTACTGTGAAGGGAGGGGAGGACGATCGTGAGCTTTTATTAGATGCCTTGCTGGATGCGGAGGAGAGTGCGCGTATACGGGAGTCTGACCTTTTGACGTTTGTGGATTCTTTACAGAATGCGGCCGATCGATACGTTGTGGAGAAGGAGGAGCTTGTTGCTCTGCTTGAGAGTGTGCGGAGTGATCTTCGAAGTGCCTTGAATGAACGTGATAAGGCGATGTCTGATGTATCATTTTTGCAAGAGGAGTGTGTTAACTTGCGAGATCAGCTGCTTGGGAAGCTTCTTCCTCAGTTTCCCGTTGGTGAGCGGAAGTTGCTGGAGGCGTACCTTGAAGAGGTGCAGCGCAGGCGGGCGGCGGAGAATGAGCTGTATCGTGGCCTTTCCCTTCGGGGAACGTCATTGCGGTGACGGCAGCGCTCGGGCTAGAGTGCATGACGATTACGCTGCTGCTGCTGGTGTGCAGGCGTTTTACCTGGCTGTTCCTCTTCTTCACGTGGAGGCTGTTTGAGGATGAACAGCGTGTAGGGGTTGACGACCGTAATGCGGCGTTGAAAGGAGGCTGAGACTTACCCTTGAGAAGTTACATGCCCCCTTGTGGCAGTGGTCCTGCGGTTAGTGCAGACTTTTTTTGGAGGGCGAGCATTGCGTGGATGTGGACATGAATCAGCCGGAGACTGTTATTGATATAAGTTTTGCAGTTTTGAGGCGGCGTCCCCCGTCGTCTCCTGCGGGTGATGTATAATAGACGATGGAAAAGAAAAGAAAGAAAGTGCGAGAATTATGTTTGCCGAGAGTGTTGATCGGTGTTGGGCAACACGAGATGTTGCTCTCAGGCGATGACGGCAGTAACCCGCGCATGCACCAACGGCTGTGAGTGTGTGTGTGTATGTGAACTTCTCTTGTTGTTGCTGTTGTTGTTTTTTTTTATTTCTCTTTTGGGGTGCGTGTGGGCCGCCTGTATTTGTCGTGGGTGTACGAGGAGGAAGATGCGGGGTCGTGTGAATACTCTGCCGTTTTATTATTATTATTATTACTATTGCTGGTTATTCTGGGCGCGGCGGCCGACGCTGGTCCCACGCCGCTCCGCACGTGTGCGTCTGTCACCGGTGTGCGTGCGTGCCGGGGGGGAGGGGTGAGAGCGAAAGGGCAAAAACGAAAAACAGCATCAACGACAAGGCGGAGGTGCTGCGCGCACGCTGCGCTTCTTTTGGTGCGTGTTTGCTTGCCCTCTGCCATCACCCTCGCCGTCCGCTGTGTTGTTGCTTCGCCGCTCCCTCCGCGGGCCGCGTCGCGGTCGAGGGAAGAAGCGAGGCGGCGTTCGCATGTAACCGGGCGGCGGCGGCGTTCATGACTGCTGCGATGGAAATACGCTAGTCGGGGAACGCCGCGTGGGGCATCCATCGAGGCCCCACAGCTGCACTTCCCTCAGCGTGTTTGCGGCGGTGGGTGGTAGGTGCAGCGAAGGCAACGCCGCAGACTGCGCCGAGAGGTGTCGGCCTCACTTACTGTCGCGGTGTCCGCTCCTTAAGGACGTGGCTGCCTGCCGCGGTTGGGCCGGCCTACGCGGCTTGCGTCGCCGCCAGCTGCCGGCCAAACACGGAAAGGGCCCACCGAGCATGTACAGCTCGAGAGGTACTGATGTTGCCGTATTTATAGAGTTGCGCGTATTTTCCATCGCAGACGACGGCTAGGCTCACCCGTCGCAGTGTGTTCCGTCTAGAGCCTCCAGCCGCTACGGCGATGCCGTTTCACGTCTTTTAGAGGTGCCGACGCTGGCGCTATGCGGATTAACCGCACGCTGCGACGCAGTCCACATGTGTCACTGTCCTGGCACTTGCCTCCAACGGGCACTGCACCTCCATGCAGAAAAAACTTGTCGCTGCTAGTGTTATCGCGGTGATTGGCTGCGGTGAAGTGACTCTTTTTAAGCTCTCTCCTCCGCTGCTTCTTTTCTGTCTTGCAGACCAGCCTACGTGCGCAAGTGACTCTACGGTCTGTGGTGACGATGCTGCGGCGCTCGCTGGGCGCCCTGTTGGTCCTTGCCGTCTGCTGCTGCTGGCTCGTGGCGGATGCAGCGCCGGCAGAGCTGCCGGTGGAAGTGTCGTGCGCGGGCGGCGCGGTGCGTGTGAGGCGCCTTGGCGAAAGCGAGTGGCAGACGTGTGGGGCGGACGGCGCGATGCCGTGCGGGAAGCACGCGGCGGTGTGCAGGCGCGCGGCAGCTCGGAATACGGCTGTCACCGCCAATGACATTGAATTGCAGGAGCTCGACGAGAGCGATGACAATT